TACATTGTACTATTTTTTTCATTTTTTATCTTATGCTTTTTAGTATCTATATGACCGCGTCACTTCCTTTTGAAAAAATATACCTATTTTTGAAAAAATAGACCTATTTTATTTGATATTTCAATCACCTAGTCAAATATTCTTTTGTACGGTAAAAAGGTAAAACCATTTCACCATGGAAGTAACCATCAGTAAACAGATATATATTTTGTATGTGGGAATATTTACTTTATGATTTTCATTACGGATATTTGAATACAACGAGATGACAAAAATGGCAAGCGGAAGGACCCTGCATATTTTTGTATAGTAATGTGGAAATAGTTTAGTTATAATTATACTTTTTGGAGTATATAATTTTTCCCCTACAACCCACCTTAAAATAATATAAAGCATCTATAACTTGGGTTTACAATCAACAACTTTCTAGTTAAATTTTTATTGTAACCCTAAATATATCTTTTAAAAACTCATATTCAAGACACGTACTCATGCTAATGCTTATATTAGTTAGCATACAAAACACATACATTGAATGTGACTTTTTAAGGTTGTTTTTTGTTTGGGTTATTGTTAGAACAAATGCACAATAATAGTATAAATAATTGTGAAGAACAAGCACAAGAATAAACAACAAGCAATTGCAAACATAGAAATTCATATGGTTCACCCAATTTAGACTACATCAACAACAAAGGCGTCCGAGAAATTTTATTATTAAAAGAGAAAGAAGTACAAGAACAAGGTAAAAGCATAAACCCTCAAACTCTCCTTCTTCAACATTCAAATCTTGATTCAACCCTACTATAAAACTCCCTCTATTTTAATATATATAGAGGACCACAATAAATTAGGAAAGATGTATCCAAATGTTGGTAGAAGTTGGAGATCAAAAGAACAAACGAACGACTAAAATTAAATCATCAGAAACTGCAATAAGTGTCGTATCCATTAATGGCTAAATATGATCATCGATGATCTCCTGCAGTCCATTAATGGTTCCTTGCAATCCATCAATGGTTCAAAATTTTGTTTCTATTCTTCTCCCATTGTTCGCTGTACCTATCGATGATCGAAGAGACCATTGACAGTCTCCTCTTGACTACCGATGATCAATTGACTGAATTGAACAGTCAGAGTTTTGAGGCATAATTTCAATAAATATTTAGATATTAGTCCCTTAAATCTTCAATAATTTCATGTTATTCCCTCAAATCTTAGAAAGTGCTCATTAGTCTCTCAAACCTTAATGCCTCATTTGGTACGCGGGAATGAGTGGGAATGGAATGCAATTTTAACTCTTTATTCATGTCTACCAAACACAATGTATCTTTAGATGCTAGAATTTATATTCTCACTTCTTATCAATTCCCACTTTATGTGGGAATTGTCATTCCCAACCATTTAATAAGGAATTGATATTCCCACTTAAGTGAGAATAAAAATAATCAAATAATTTCTGATTATACCCTCCTTAAAAGATACGAATAGATATAAATTCTCATATGAGAAATCATTTTTATAAATAATATTATTAGCTACTCGTACAAATATATAAATATATATAAAATATTAAAATACTTGTTCAACCTTGTCCTAGTTCCACATCGCGTTTGCAGAAGAAAATACCCCGTCTTCGCCTCGATGCCACTCAGTAAGGTAACCATTGTTTCTTTTTTAAATTTATATGGGTGGCTAATTTTTACAAGAATTTTTTATCTTTTGGCGACTTTGTTAGGTAATCTATTGACAGTTAGGCTAGCTAATATTAAATCTTTGGTGTTAGGTGTTTGATTACTTGGAAACAATTCTTCAATTTTGTCGATAGAGCATCTCTAGCTAATTATTGAATGATAAATAAAACATTTAATAAATCTCCTCTTAAGACAACTTCATAAGTTCCAAACACGCAAAACATGTTCACGAGACAAACAATTCTTCAATTCTCTCTATAAACCATCCCGAGCTAATTACTGAATGATTAGCAAAAAGTTGAACAAAAATCCTCTTAAGAATGGGTTACTACAAGCTTATTTCAATAACTAATAAGGGCCTGTTTGGTTCGTTTCCTAGATATAGGGAAATGCATTTCCATGTACAAAAACACAAGTTTTGAGTTTTCCAAACTTTTTCAAGAAATAGATTGTTTCGCTTTAGTTCGCACAAAAAAAATGGTGGGAAACCAATGTATTTATTTTTCTTGTGTTTGGTTCGTATGGAAAAAAAAGGAAAAACTTTTGTTTATATGGCAAAAAGCCGACGTGGCTGCAGTTTTCGTCGATTTCACCAGGTTGAGGAAGGAATTAGGGGAGAGAAAAAAATCTGATGTGGCGGCGTTTTTCACCGAGTTTCCCTTCTTCAACCCTAGCGAATCAAAGATGTGGGAAAAAACCGACAGAAGGCTTATATTCTACGTGGCTACGAAAAATTAGAGGTGGGCAAAAACCGAAAAAAACCGGTTCAACCGAAAAAACCGCCCGAAAAAGCGGGCCGGTTAACCGAACCAGATTAAATGGATGAGAAGAAGACTCTAAACCGTCCGAACCGAATTAAACCGGTTTGGATCCGGTTTGAACCCCTGAACCGCCCGAAAAAAAACCGAACCGAATTTTCTAATTCGTTCTTTGTCGGATATTCATATTGCTCAAAATGGGAAGGACTTCGTCGTTCGGAATTCGGTCAAAATGGAAAGGACTTTTGGTTCGGAGGAAGTCGGATGGAATAGCTTTCTTATTAGTGAGTCATCACTTGAACATTAAGCTATATAATTGCTCGGTAATTTGATTGTTATGTTTACATACATGTTTATATTGTATAGTTCCTTTTTTATTGGGCCTGCTAGCGTATATGCCCGCATTAAAATCGGTGAAACCTCATATAAGCTTTCAAATTCTATATATGCCCGCATTAAAATCGGTGAAACCTCATATAAGCTTTCAAATTCTACTAGAGGCATGTTAAGTTGTTTTCCAAGAAATGAAAGATAACCTTTTGATTATAGTTAATTAATATTTGAATGTTACGTAACCATATGTACTTGTTGATATGTTTGAATGTTACGTAACCATATGTACTTGTTGATATGGTTTGCGCTCATTTCACTGATTTCGGTTTTTTATTAGCTGTGGCAATGGTGTTACTTCAAACAAGCTTCACATTTCATTGTTTGGGGAAAAAAGTTAAGTAGACAAAATGGACAAATAATGATACTTCATCAGAAATTAATAGGCAATGATCTCAGGTGTGGGCAGATTTTTGTGAAATAGTATTAATTCGGTCCAAAACCGAAATCGATCCGAACCGATCCGAATTTCGGTTGGGCCGAATATTCGGATGAAGGGAAAAAAATCTGGATCTGGATGAGAGTTTTGAGAATTCGAAAAATTCGGATTGGATGCGGATTGAGCTTAAAACCGATCCGAACCGAATATGCCCAGCCCTACGAAAAATCTGATGTGGAGGCGGTGTAAAACTTTTCCACCGAGTTAAAAAACGAACCAAACAGCCCCTAAAAGATAATGTTTAGCAATTACTAGGAGAGTGAAAAAATATCAGTTCTATAAAACTTATTGTTCTAAAAAAATAAATGATTTAGTCATTTTCAAAAAATTTTATGTTTTCAAAATTTTGTGTTTTGGTAAGGGTATTATTAGAAAACTAAATTTTATTATCACTTGTGAATAAATGATACCAAACACGGGAATGAGAATAAGATTGCTATTGCCGTTTCATTCTCTAAACGCGTCCAAATATGACAGTGAGAATGAGATTTCCTCCCCTCTCCTAATGAAAAGCTCATAATATCTCCTAATAATAAGATCATACCCTTTCATTTTTATCATGGTCTTTCGTATTCCCACCTATCCTTGTGGACCCCTCTCCCAACTATTCACAATTCTTCGTTAGGAAATATTAGGGTGTGTTTGGATTTTAATGGGGTTAAGGGAAGTTAAGGAAAACTAGGTGAGAGAAGAGAAGGGAAGAGAGTTCCATTCCCATTGGTTACACCCCAATTTAGAGGATAAACAAATTTTATACTATTAAGGGGTGAATAAAAAAGAACTAAGGTGAATAACTTCACCTCCTAAATGTTCCCAAACAAGATGAATGGTTCCCCTAACTTCCCTTTAATCTTATTCCTCTCCATCCAAACAAGCCCGGAGAGGATACCCCAATTCACAATCGCAACCCGCTTGTTTTCTGGGGACACGAAATCTCCCAAGGAAAGAGTCAATAGTTCGATCCAACGGCTGTCGTCATCTCCCATCTTCAGCGCACCATCTACCTCCTTCGCCCTCTCTCTTAAAACCCTAGACCTAAATTTCGGACAATCGAAGTCTCTTTCTCGATCGCGAAAACCCTAAACCCGCGTTTGGGCAGGTGAGTTAGATTCTCTCTCTCTCTCTCTCTCTCTCTCTCTCTCTCTCTCTCACTCTCTTTTATCTATGATCAAAGTAAATTCTCCTCTCTGGCGTCAAATTGACCAGATCAAGTTTTCGAATTTGATATTCTTTTTATCGAATTTTACATGCTTTTGTCTTTTTAAAAGGTCAAACCCTTTTCGATGTTTTTCTTTAAACGTGAATTTGACCTAAAGATTCCATGTTCAGTCACTAGGAATGTTAAATTTCTAATTTTGGGGTGAGCAATGTGGATGAAATTGTTTCGACCCTCAAAAATTTTCCTGATTGTAGTTATTGACTTGTTTTTTTAAAAGGCAAATAATTGAAGATTCATTACTTATGTTTAATTTTCCCCAAAGAAATTACTCTTTCTCTGGGAGTTTAAAGTTTGTGTCTGTTTGCTTGAATTGTTCTTCTATTTTGGCATATTTTACGTAAAACAAATCAAAAAGTAAAATGTTCCTCCTCTACTAATACTATGACACTTATGCGCCTTTAAATACTTGTCAAAAAAAGGGAAAAAAAAGAAAAAGAAAATCAACATTATTTGTTGTGGATATTCTTAGCACTTTTGCTTTCAGCAACATTAAAAATTGATTTTCTAGGGAATTTTGAAAATCAAGGACATGCGGACTACTAAAGATTTGGTCTGAGCTAATTTATCTCCAATTTCTCTATGCCTAGGACTAAGGAATGGGTCCGTTGAAGTTGATTTTGGACTTGAGTACTTTAGGAATTGACATGTTCATTTTGGCCTAATGTTATTAATCTAATACTATCATAAAAGTGTGTTGGTATGTTAAATATTTCTTCCAAAAATACCCTCCAAACCACATACATGCATCCATAAAACACATACTTGCATAGATATAAACACATACATATACATGCATATATTTTTAATAATGGCATAACTCTCCTATTAATTGTCCACTAATATTAACTTCTATTTTTTACAACCCCTCCACTAATCCAATACAATTTTAACGTTATCATAAAAAATTTGCATACATATAAACACATGCATATACATGCATACATTCTTAATAATGGCATAACTCTCCTATTAATTGTCCACTAATATTAACTTCTATTTTTTGTAACCCTTCCACTAATCCAATATTAATGTTATCATAAAGATTTTTTTAATATTGTAAGTTATATTTGACATAATAGTTGAGAATTGAATGCACACACATATGACAAACTAATAATATATGTTTCAATTTGCAAACAAAGTGTCAACTTAAAATGCTTACATGCATACATTCTTAATAATGACATAACTCTCCTATTAATTGTCCACTAATATTAACTTTTTTTTGTAACCCCTTCACTTAAAATGCACATACGACAAACTAATAATATACGTTTCAATTTGCAAACAAAGTGTCAACTTAAAATGCCATTAGTGCATGCATTCATGCATACTTGAAATGAGAGTTATATTTTCAATTGTAGTTTTTATTTAAGTGATAATTACATTTGACTGTTACAGAATCCAAAGAGCCTGCTTTTTTTTTTATTTAACATAATAGCCCTTACTTGCAACCTATATAAATTCACTCATTTGATGATTTAGATTTACACTCACCTCTTACAACCCTAACAACATCCTATACTCACCCCATGGTTTTACTATGATATTATTTGGATGATACAAGCTCACCAGTGAAAACATTATCCCTTCAGAAGAGATAACAACAAAGGGGGGTGGAAGACGATTGAAGTTGTGCTGAGGAAGTACTGAGCTTTACTCGGATTATACTTTATACTGATGTGATTGTTAAACTGACGGCTATATGCAGATTGAGGATACGATTGATACAAGGAAATGTGAAGAATTCGGATTGAGGCTAAAGTTTGAGGTCTAATTTTTTTTGGGGGGGGGGGTAATGAACTTTTTTCTATTTCTATAATTATTATTATGTATTTAATTGTGATTTGAGAGAAATATTGTATTATCCATGAACTTAGTAGATATATTTTTTGTAGCATGTTACTAATTATATGATAATAGAAGAGAGAGAAGGTGAAAGTGGGAATTTTATTTTGTTATAATGGATTAGCAAAAATAAAGATAATTAATATAAACTGGAATAGCATGACACACTTAACATAAAAGTAAAGAACAAACTTGAAATTTTTATCTTTTGGGTAATTTTTTATATAATAAGTATATTGTAACCTCCCTAATGTTAAAACTATATTCTAAATTTGCACAATAGTTATTAAATGCTATTCATTATCTTAAATTATAAAGTAAATAGAATTATGTCTTTTAAGATTAAAAAAAAATTGTATCTTTTAGGTATTCCATGATTTGCCAATGTTCACAAAATAACCCTGAATTTTTCACAAACAACCATGGATTTTCATAATTTTCACAAAGACCATTAAAATTTCATATATTTATAGAAAAATACCGATACTTCATAATTTTTTACAGATAAACCCCTATATAGTTCATAACTTAAATCTTAAGAAGATTGAAAGAAGTATATGATCTAAATTGTAAGAAAATTACAAATAAGTCCTCAAATGTTATTATAATTACATTCAAAATGAAACTCTTCCATTAATTAAATAATGAATTGTGTAAAGTATTAGAACATAAAACAAATATGTCCACGTGCAACGCACGTGCACTATACTAGTTTGACAAAAAATTGAGTTTAGTCATGTGCAGAGTTGAAATCAACCTGACAATGGACCAAAGTCTTTGGACCTCTTCGTTTCTTAAAGACACTCTTTGCTTCTCTTCGTTTCACACTTCTTCTTCTCTTTTTCTTGTCTTTTTTTATTTTCTATGTGCAGTAGATTGAGTCTGAACTTATCCATCATGCTAATACTTTTTATTCTCCTTTTTCTTTTCTTTTCTATGTGCAGTAGATTGACTCTGAGTTCATCCTTTTTCGGCTCATTTTGTACATTTGCCCTCTAGATTTCTTTTTAAGTGACTTTCAGACCATCCAACGTATATGATCTTTTATTAATATCGTTGTTTAGATGTGCTGCATCATGTTTTGTAAAGCATATATTGTTGTGTTTCTAGAGCTATAGCTGCTGTAGCACATAAGTTTCCTATCGCAGCACAATAGCACATACTATGGGAACTGCCTGTATTTATCTCATCATAAAATCCAATATGAAATTATATATTTTTGCTTGGTTAAAAGTAGACTGTTTCATAATTAAACCCAGTGAGAAATGGCAAGACATAAGTTCGAACCTTGCCAATGTTTCTTTCTTGTAACCTACTTGTTAGCACTCTTTAAGCTTTTAGGATGAATGTGGCAGAAATATTTCATTTTTAGTTACCAGGAGTGCTAAAGTTCTATTTTTTGAGTGAAAAGCACCTTTTTCATCTTCAGGATGAATGTGTCAGAAAGATTTCATTTTACTAACTAGGGCCCAGGAGTGCTGAAGTTCCATTTTTGCAGTGAAAAGGCGGTTTTTTGCAATTACTGGCCTAGATTCGTTTGTAAAAAAGTACTACTTCCATGTCCCGTAAAAGCTTGGATTTAATTCGCATAGTTGGAGCAACATTATTTATGGTGATGAATCTGTGCAAGAAATTACTCTATATATTTACATTTACTGCTTGGTTTCTCCTGTTTACTTGCATTATTCTTTTATGCCATTATTCTTTTATGCTGCCAGGATCTACATGAAACATGCAAGTAGTAAAATGTTCTCCTCATTGTCATTAGTAGTAATCTTTGTAATAAAACTAATGATATGATATTAATTCACTCGTACTTTCTGTTCTGCTGTATGCTAACTTGCCTCTTTGTTGGCAAGTTTCGATCTTATCTGGCTATCTTTATTTTCTAATGTATTGTTAACATTTCAATTACTATTTTCATTGCTATTGATGCCAAAACATGTTAAGAAACCTATCAAGATTGGTCAAAAGTTTGAGGCTATTTACATAATTTGTTAGATGTTCTGCAGCATTATTGGGGAATAAGTTATGGGCAATAAGAAGAACCCCCTTGTATTTTTGGACATATCAATTGATAGGGATCCAGTTGAAAAATTGGTGATTGAGGTATCAAATAATCTTCACAATATTGAATTTACCTGTAGATTTTCTTGCTTTTATTCTCTATTAATTTCATTGCTTATCTTCTATGAAGAGATTTATTGTTTTTCAATATCTGGCTTATTTCAGCTTTATTCGGATGTTGTTCCAAAAACTGCTGAAAACTTCCGGGCGCTTTGTACTGGTGCTATTTCTTATACCTCTCATTCCTTCTTCTCACATGAATGTTTTTATCTGACGTTTAATTAAGATTCTGAGTATAACAGTGGGCACTTACGTCTTGCACCATTGATATAATTTAACTTGTTCTTTTTCTCTATATCTTTGGCATGCTTGGTATTGCATACATTTACCATAAACTTATTCAGTTAACATTCTCTTTGCTTTCGGTATATATCGTGTTTATTTGAAAATGTACTCTTCCAATCATTGCATTGCCACACCAGAACACCACCATGTGCTATGTTATAAAAAAAAAATTGCATCTCGATATCTTTAAAGTCAATGGAGTTATGGAGTGGCCCAGATCCTTTATCTTGAGTTCGATAGAATTGTAAAGTGGTTAATACCAGTGTAAATAAGATGGTATCTACTTACAGGTTCTATCCAATCAGTTGCTGGCTTGCAAAGATTGTAGTAATAAATTGCAGAAGAAAGGATTTATGTAGAATAAATCAAACTGTCCTAAATATATTAAGGTGTGTGTCAGTCATTGAAGTCAATTGTGCAACTTGCAAGGTTGAATTGGGTTGAGGTGCAACCGTTATTCTGGTATCATCGTACCATCTCTTATAAGTTATGCTTAACTTGAGATGATCTTAGGTCAGGTCTTCTTCATCTCTTATAAGTTGTCCAGAATTATGCCATTATCTGGAGCTTTCATGCGGCTGATATGGGATGGAGAACCAAGTTAGTAGCATTATGAATGCTTTAGGAGTTGAGTTACATTTCGCATGTAACCAAAACTATCTGAATTTATCTACTGAATTTATCTACGTGCAGAATATCTATATTCAATATCATTATAACTGTCTAAGCCATTTTGTCTCAAAATGATCAGCTATAGAGCAGTCAGTTAGGTTTTGTGGTCATGAAAATAAAGGTTGATCAAACATTTGCAACTGAACTTTAACCTAATGTCAACCTTCATAGATTTGAAAATTGGAAATTCTCCGCCTACTTAACAAGTGCTTGACCAATCATGGTTCAGGATGCCGTGCGTTGGATTTGGACTCAGGTCAATGACATTATCAATCAGTATCTTAGGAGCTGCCTGATGATCTCACATGTCCAAAATAGGGTAAACCATATACATATAGATTTTGACATTTGTTTTTCATAGCTGTTCTCTGTGCTTTCTAGACGAATCAGCTATATGATACCAACAGGCTCTATGCCCATATGATGAAGAAGATCAGCTATATCTTTAGTTGCTAAATGGAGATGACAGTGGTTTTTCTTGGCTATTTGGTTACATAATTCAAGTACCCACATTTGACCTGTTTATATGTTGGTTACTTGGACTTAAACCTGTATAACTGGTGTCAGGTCACAGGTTACCTGATCAAATCAAAATCTCATGAACCTGCTAATCTCGCTGTATAAACTAAACTACTTTTAGTGTTAATAGTAGGCAACAACTTTTGGTCTGGGAAGGCATTAGTTGTACAAGGGAGAAAGAGAAGAATTAGTTCTACCTCTTCAGATTTGGCCAAGAAAGTGAATAAGTGTCTTTATCACTTTCAAGAAGTAGGGCTTTCGGCTTCTCTCTGTTGAAACCTATGCACGGGTTAAAGTTCGGGAAGAAGTAAGGGAGGGGGAGAAGAAATGTCGCCTTTTTAGGTGCAGAAGTCTAGGTCTTGGAAAAAACATACAGCATTGCTAAATGCCTTCACTATTGTTAGCAATTTAGTTATCTTAAGAAAAATTAAGTTGTCAATACCAACAATCCTATATTTCCCATGCGAACCCACTCATCCAATCCTGATAAGTATGCATAAAGAGAATTAAAACTGCACCAATACAGAGATTTGGGACCTCACTATGTACTCTTTCTTTGTATATTTCTTAATTCAGAAATACGCTCATTAAAAGCATTGATTTTTTTATTTATGATATATCTCATAGGTGAGAAAGGGATAGGAGCTTCTAGTGCGAAACCGTTGCATTACAAGGGATCATTTTTCCATCGTATAATTAAAGGTTTTATGGCTCAAGTAAGTAATTTCATCTTCGTGGTTAATTATCGTTAACAAATATGTATTAATTTATATAGCAGGATGATCTACTGCTACCATGCATTAGCAAGCAGTACTTTTTACATGTTTAATTATCTTTGCTGTGAGGAACCCTTTTACTGACTGATAACTGGAATGATTGATATTTATATTGCTATTTACAGGGTGGCGACTTCTCAAAACAAGATGGTATTACTTTGATATGCTCAGGCCTCTTTATATCTCAGTTCTTGCTGTGTATAGTCTGTGAAACCTCAACGTTAATTGCTATTTCCAGGCAGTGGTGGAGAGAGCATATATGGGGGAAAGTTTCCAGGTTTGTGCTACTGATAATGGGAAAGTGCTATTCATATGCAAATAGTTGTTTTGATTTGATTAAAACTTCTTAATTGCAGATGAGAATTTCAAACTGAAGCATGACGGACCTGGAATTTTATCTATGGCAAATGGTGGTCCTAACACAAATGGATCCCAATTTTTTATCACCTTCAAGGCTACACCACATCTTGATGGGTATAATTTTTTTCTTGATTTTCTATGTTTTTTTATGACCAATAAAATTTGCTATTTCTAGACGTTGGGTTTTTTTTGGATATAGTGAGTAATTGATGATTCTGAAGTTTCAGTTATCCTGAAATGTTTTTCGAACTATAGGCTAACCTGAATCCTTTTGGGACTATTCCTGACGATGAATGAGAAATTGGAGATATAAGTGAAAGTTTTGTTAGGAAACGAGATGATTAGATAAATTTGTTTGGGTTGAGATTTTAGATTTTATTTTAAGAATATTTGGTTTTATCTGTAGACTGTTAGGATGATTATCTACTTTTGATTTTCAAAGTGTGTTAGGATAGAATTGGTTTGGATTTTATATTTGTAGCAGAAATAAGATTCCAATTCTATACAGAGTTGTAGTTTTAAATTGTACTAGTTGAGATGCATGTTCAATGCACGTGGTTGGATATTATGATTATTTAAATTGTTAAAAATAAAATAAAAATAAAAAAGAAAATAAATTTTTTTGTGGGATTGATCATCTACTTAATAATCTCTCTCGCAAATAAAATATTGTCATTGTTTCTTTCAACCCAGACTGTGACCATGTGATTTACTATTTGTGAATTATAAACACATAGATTTAATACAACATCTATGTTTATTAGTATCTTTGAAGTCTTCAAAAGATGAGTGATCATTCAATTCATAAAGGAATTTTGCATGAGTTTATTTGTAATATGTCCATTAAACTTTTAGTTGTGGTTTGACTCATATTCACATTAACTTTTAGTTGTGGTTTTACTATATTTACATTATCTAATATTCTCATTCAATTTTATAGCTCATTCTCCATATCATAGAAGTAAAACTGAAAGTATGAAGAATTATTTTCTTGTGAAATTAGAGTACAGATATTATAATATATTCCGTCATGTGCTCTAATATGAAAATTTATTTTTACTTTGATGTAAGGTCCCTATTAAATCTTGCCCAAACGATGTGAATGAAAAATGCTATTATAATTCACTTGCCCAGGGCAGTTGTATTATATAAGTAGGGATGATAATGAATTGAAGATGAATGAATAATTTCTTCCTCATATTCGAATTCGGTTCTTATTGAAGAATTTAAATTCGAATTCGACTCGAATACAAAACGAGCTTCGAATCTGATTCATCTAGTTACATACCTATTCGCGAAATATTTGTGAATATTCGTTTATGGGAGGGGGCCACGAGTTGAGAGAGAGAAGAGTGTCAGGGGAGAGGACCATTGCGGTGATTGAGAGCATATGTTGCTGAATACCATTGGAGAGAAGAAGAGGATTAGGAGGAGACCATCGAGTGGGATTTGGGGCTGAGACACGTCGCATAAACTTGAAAAGGAAAACATAGAAACCCTAGGTCTAAACTGGCAAAGCTGTAATTGGGCTTTTAGACATGAGACAATGCCTAACGTGAAATCAATAAGCCTAATTGGACTATTAGCTATGACATTAAGTCCATTTACTTTAAATGTCTTAACTAGGTTTGGCAAATGAACTTTTTGGTTTTTCTGATTTGCGTAGGATTGGATTTGTACCAATAAGAGTTTTAAATGAATAGTTTTTGTATTAAACAAATAGAATTAAAGTGTAAAATATAAACGAATACTTAGTGATCAAACGAATAAAATACATATTTGGTTAAATCTATGCATTTATAAACCGAATACTAAAAATTATTCATTTAATGTTAAATGAATGTCTGAATTGGATATGATCGAATACTTAGCCGAATAAATAACGAATTATATATTAATTATTTGTTTCACTTCCACTCCTATATATAAGACATCTGCTAAGTGGATTTTTCTGTTGCGAGAGCAAAATGTTAGAGGCTCGCTCAAATTTTTTGGCTTTATAAAAGACACAAGAATTTGGAGTGCATAGCTTATATATCGTAAAGTACATTCTGGTTCATGAAGAATTTTTCTTAATAACGATATTATTACAACGATATTACTATTTAGTATTAAATCAATTTTATTATATAAGATTATATGACCCTTTTTAATAAATTATAAAGTATATATATGAAAACCTCGATACTTATAGCCAGTAGTTGAGCTTCACAAAATAGATTAACTTTACATTGTAGTTTGCTATTGGCAGTACTCTTGGCAATGTCATTACCTTTCATTTTTATCTTATTATTCATACTTTTCTGATGTAAGTTTTTTTTGCTAATCATTCAATTGACTATATTTAGTTTTTATAATACCAGAGGTTAAGTGTTGACATGATTTTTTAAAAAAATATATACACATAGTAGCAATAGTATATATTTCAGTTCAACTCAAACATTAGTTTGGAGCCATTTAGAGTGATGTCCTTTCTACGCGAGAATGGTGATATAGTGATTACACAAGCCAAAAGTTAAAGAAGAAATTTCTACGAAGGAAAAATAATTTAGTATGTTAAATTAACAACTAATTTATAAAATATACATGGATATTACAGATAGCTATAGAAGGTAAGGTATATATCTTCATAAAAATTTCATAGTACGTGACCGACTACACTCATCCTAAGTTAAGCATAAATAATTATTATTTTAGTTACTATTTGATTTGCGTAACTATGAAAATAATCTCAAGCAAAAAATAGGAATTGAGATTGTATTATCCTATAGTTAAATATATAAATGTTATCAGACCTCCTTTTTATATTAAATTTAAAAGTAGTAATTTAAATTATTAAGCACTAAATATTAGTTCATGTGAGAAAGTAAAGTGATTATGGTTTATATATATATATATATAGTCAATCAAGTAAGCGTATTAAAATTATGATGACCACGGTCAAAATTATACGGTGGGTTCACATTAAACATAATTTTATAAAAAATAGTACACTAAAGTCAAATTTTTTAATCACTATATAAATCGTCTGAATTTTTTTACATATATAAACTATACTGCTTAGGAATAGTGATGTGCACACATAACTATGACCTAATATATCTTAAGAACGACTTACTCTTCAATATCATTATTAATTGACGTATCTATGCATTACACTGAAAATACAATAAAAATTTAGAAAACTACAAAAGAAACACTCAAAAGGTTTAAAAATTTGTAAAAAACCCCAAAAATTTTGTAATTTACAAATACACAAAACTATTAAACATTACATTAAAATCATGGAATTACAAAAAATCATTGAAAATTTTCAAACTTTGAAGGTGTAATTTGCAAAGTACTAAACTTTAAGGGTGTTTTTTTTGTAAATTTCAAATTTAACAGATTTCAATTAGTTATGTTTTTTTCAAAAAAGTTATGGGTAATATTGATCATGAAAAGTTATTCTTAACCCTATACTTTTAAAGGGAGTTTGATATTTTTTGTAAATTTTAATTTTCTAGGGGTTATCAATTTTGTATATTCATTTTAGTGTCCATACATTAGACTCATGGTGTTTTTTTGTAAATTAAGAATTTTAGGGTTTTTTTGCAAATTTTTAAACTTATAGGTATTTTCTACATATTGTAAATTATTTATAGACTATTTATAATTTCTATGTTTTTAATTTACTAATGAGTTTGAAATTCTTAGGGTATTTTTTTGTAAAATTTGAATTTTGAGTGGTTGTTTGTTATTTTGAAGCTTCAAGGGTGTTTTCTATAAAGTATAAATTATGTAGGGATATTTGTAATTCCTATATTTTTAGTGTACTGTAAGTTTGAAAATTATCAGGATTTTTGTAAATTTTATAATTTTTAGGGTTTTATTTTGCAATTTGTAAAAAGTTCAGAATGCTTATTGTAAATTCCATAAATTTTTGGGTGTTATTTATGTTGTTTGTAGGTGTTTTGTGTGTTTATAGGTTTGAAATTTTCAATGTGTTTTAATAAATTTTGAATTTTAAGGGGTGTTTTTTTAATTTTCAAAACTTACAAGATATTTTCTAAAATCACAAAACTTTCAGTTTCTTGCTAGCATATAATTTTCAGATTTCTCATTGAATTAAAATAAGTTAAATTTATAATTTTTAAGATGTTTTAATAAAATTTTAAAATTGTAGGGGTGTTTTTGCAATTTAAAAAACTTGGAGGATATTTTTTACAAAGTGCAAAATCTTTTAGGTGCTGGCTAGTTTATGTTTTTTGGAGTTCTCTGCGAACTGAAATAAGTAAAGGATTTGAATTATATCAAATGTATCTCTCCTTTATTCAATAACATGTTAAGTCTCATTTAGAAAAGGATAAATCATTTAATTACCAATTCAAAGAAGATATGATAATTAGAATAAATTAGGATAACAATGTAATATTCAAAAAAATTAAAGATAATATTAACTATGGAAAGATTTTCCCAAACTCGTATTTTAAATGGAGTATGATAAGCAAAGAGAAAAGAAGTATGAAAACTTGGCATGTGGGTTAGTAATATGACTTGGTCCTCTGTGCAAGCCTAAACGATTAAATGTCTGCTTGTGAAGACATCTTGATCCAAGCTTTATTATTATTTTTCTTTATTTTTTATATGACCTTATAGCCGCACTCTCAATTCCTTCTATGTTGCCTTCTTCCCTGCAGTCACAAGCAACCACAAGAAATCAAACAAATTCGAGCATGTGCCCTCTTCTTTCCTTGTTCCAATCTTACATCATCAATGTTGAGAACTTTTGAACTTAGCTAGAAATAAAGCTCGATGATCGATACTTTTACCTTTTCCATATAATATAACGCATCCAATGTCAAACTTCGAAGGATGTCTGCATTATGAGCTTTACTTTTCTCATTGATAATTTGACCTTAAATATTAATGAGTTTCTCAGCACCACGGTTGGTGATCACATGATTTGTTTCTACTTTCATGTAAAAAGAGACGCACTGTTTCTTCCCAGCTTTGGATATAAGCCAAAAATTTCCATTTTTGTAAGTGATTTGTAATAAATGAAGGAGCTGTAAAGTTTCAGCCCATTATTCTTCTCCTTCTGAAATATTCAACAGTGGGTAGATGTTAGAAAGTCATCATTGCCATTGTTGTTTGGCTAGAAGGAGAAATATGGTTGATCAAAACTTTATTCGGTCCTAAATTGATTACAGTCCACCTATGTGTGCCAGAGTCTTTGGTTTTCATCGCAAAGCCCAAGATATCTTGCATTGCTTATTTGCTTTTTATAATGAAAAATAGAAACAAATTATGCGATCACCTAGACCAACTTGATAATGATTTGTTAAATTGTTAAATGACTTAATGTGATAGGCAAAACTCCTAGTGCAAACATTCTTCTTGGAAGTTCAACATTTGATTCACCGGCATCACATGGAAAAAGTAAAAAGACAGACCATTAAGCTTGATTGACAAGCATATTTTTTTAGTTCTTAGCATTGATAATATAATATTAAAACAAAGAAAGAAGAGGATAAGTGTTGGAATTCGTCTTGGATGTAGGTTGTTGCATGTACCAGCAGGAAAGAAGAGAATTGAGGGTGCTGCTATCTAGTCCTATATGAAAAGCAAAGAAAAATATTGACATATAGTGACTTAATGCGCCAACACCTAATCGTTTGGGCTTTACACCCAGACGATTCACGTGCTAACTGTTTTATAAATCTTTTTTCTCTATGTTGAGATAATGCAAACCTAAAACTTAATAAATAGAGTCAGAATCTTAACTGTTATCCCAATACAATTTAAAAGTCAATACTAGATAATCATCTTAACAGATAAAACCAAAAACTCTAAAAGATAAAGTCATTTTTTAATTTCGAAATCCAAATAAATTTATCTAATCCTAATTTTGCAGGGCTCCAACAAAACATTCACTTTAACCCAAAATTGTCCTGCATCACATGAAGTTAGCTGACTATAATTATATTAGATACTTCGAGCAGTGTAGTACATATTGTCAGGGGTTGGAACGAGATCAAGTTCTTGTTGTAGTACATCTTGTCAGGGGTTGGAACTAGATCAAGTTCTTGTTAAGAATTTCTAGTACTTTTAAAAGGGTATCAACATATAATGATATCACATTCCACCTTGTGCAGCAAACATGTTGTTTTTGGGAAGATAGTAAATGGTATAAGCTTACTGAGGAAGATAGAGCAGGCAGGTTCAGAGAAAGGAAAACCTGCATCCCTTGTAAAAGTCGTGGATTGTGGTGAAGTTACTGAGAAAGCTCTTAATGCATCAGCAGAAGATAGAGGTAAATTTTGTTCCATATGTACCTGCTACCCACTTGTTGTGTTTTGTTCTCTCTGTGTCATTGAGAAACAATACAATTATCGCAGGGAAAAAGGTGAAGAAATCAGGAAGAGATCTTTCTTCAGACGATAGTTCTGATGGGAAAGCGAGGATGAGGCGCAGAAGGCATGCTAAAGACATAAATAAGAAGAGAAGGAAAAGATACTCAACATCAGACTCATACAGCTCTGGTTCTGATTCAGAGTCCGATTCTGATAGCGACTCTGATTCATACTCTTCACCATCTGAAACAAGTTCATCCAGTGATCACAGGCGCAGGAGAAGAAAGAAAACATCAAGGAAAGCTAAAGCTAAAGCTAGAAATGGGAAAAGGAAAAGAGATCGACGTCGAGAGAAAGAACAAAAGAGGCGCAGTAAAAGATCGAGACGCAGGTCAAAACGATGTGCTTTCTTGAATATTTTGCTACATTTCTTATTTGTTTTTCGCTTTAAGCTATCATGGCCTCTTTTGTTTGTGAATAAATGTGTCCATCCTTCTCTTGATTTACTTAGCAGGTCATCGGAAAGTTCAAGTGATTCCAGTAGCGAGGGTGTCAACATTGGTGGCTTGGATGTTGAAAAAGTTAGAAATATAGTAAGTGTGCCAGATGTTGCTAATAAGTCTACCAAAGATCAAGGTGTGTTGTTCAATTATGATGTATATGGTGTTGAATTAAATCTTTTTCTCACCATTTTCTATTTAGTTCTTGTGTTATATTTCTTCAAGTGAATGATTGTTTTGTCATGTGGCTACCTTGGTTAAATGTTTTTGCCTGCATAATTTTCTCATACTTGTTTTATTATATGTGCATACATTATACAGTTGCATTTATGCATTTATTCTTCTTTCTTGATCTTTTGAATTTTAGTCATGTATACATGCACACACTAAAGGAACAAATAAGGTGTATGACGAACAAATAAGGTGTATGACCACCAACCTCTCCTTAACATAGGATGTGTTGGAGGCATCTGCCAGATTACCTTTCCCTATCACAGAGAAATGTCTATACCAACTGCCATTTCATCTCTGTCATGACGCTCTTTTGGATAGAGGGGCTGGTAGGTTAATAAAAATTTCTTTTGTAGAGTCTTACAAAATACACACCATATCTTGGCCCTTGGGGAACTGTTTCGTCTTATCATCTGAAGCTAGTTGTAGCCCACTTGCTATTAGTTGGACATACTTCTTTTCTGGACTCTGTCGGGTTTAGGACTTGCTATTATGAGGATTTTTTTAGTGATATTAGGGATGTCTAATATGGCTAAATAACTTATGAATGAAAACGTTATTAGGTTACCAAGTTTGGATCCTTAATGACTGTATTCAGATTTTGTAATCTAGATCCATTAAGGAAAAAGATTGTTTAGAATAACCTATATATATTATTTAAGAATCCAAATCAAAATATTCAGGTTGAATTCGGATAGAGTTGTTCGGTAATTAGGCCCTATTTTCACCCCTACTGCAGTGTGAAATCATGAATGTCTCAGTAGTCAAAACTCAAAACTAATATTTGACATATATCTATTAAGTATTGGTGTATCCAATCTATAATGTGATTCATCTCCATTATCAGAGTGCCCATGGAACAAAAAATAGTTAAATGAACTACGAGTGGCAAGAGTGGACATTCATGAGTTGTGATGAAGCTGCTTGAAAGTTCAAGGGATGCCTACGACATAATGTGATGAATCTTCTAGTGCCCCTTACATTGCATTTGTCTCTGATTGAAAGTTCAAGGGATATCAGAACGGGCTGGCCCCAAATATTTGAGATAAAAGGCTATGTTCTTGTCATTGTTCTCCGTCTCATTGCGCCTCATGCACCTTACGATGCGTGGCGGTGGCGAATCGCCCCACATCTAATGCAGCAGCGCCTTTTGCACCTCGTGTACATCCTTGTGCTTACTTTGTGCAGGGTGCATGTAGTACATATCCTCATATACTATTGTTTGTTAACATTTCAATCGAGTCTTTATACTTGATATTTCATATCCCAAGAAGCAAAATAAATCCATTAGGCCTTTTTAATAGCCTTCAATTGAGAACCATTACTAATCATTTGCTTGGATATTAGTCCTGATTTAACATTTGATTTGAAAATTTATGAATTTTGCTACTATGTTGGGTGTTAGCATTAGAAATTAAGGTATTACATTGTGATTTTGAGTAAGATATTATTTATCTTGATGTTTTTTCATGTAAATTCTAAAAACATGTTCTTTCGCGCTTGATTACATATATTGAAAAATTATGTGTGCGGTGTGTGCCTCGCATCACTCGGGCGTGCGCATTGCGTTGCGTCTTACGCATGTGCGCGGAAAGATGCTTTGTGCCCCGCATTGCGCCTCGCGCATATGCAACGCTGGTGTGTGGGTGGGTGGGTGGGTGGTGGGGTTGCAGTGTTGAAAGGAGATTATCCACCTCATGTTTCTTGTACCTACATGATCTAATATCCAAGCATCAGTTCTCTCTCTCTCTCTCTCTCATCTATATATATATATATATATATATATATATATATATATATATATGAGATTAATGAGTATCCTTGTCATAGGAGGGATTTCCTCCGTGACGCCTCTAAATCACATGATTGAGCGACATTGTGGATGATCCGCTCCGTTGAACTTGATCTACATATTCTAAAACCTCAACACACCAAGTTTGCGGTGACCCATCGTCGTTGACCCTTCATCCACTCGTATCAATTTTAACGTTTTGATGAATAAACTTTTCAACATGGCTCGATGGAGGGTCAAACGACGACGGATTCACCCCAAACTTGGTGTGTTGGGGTTTTTAGAATATGTAGATCAAGTTCAACGGAGCGGATCATCCATAATTCGGCTCATCATGTGATATTAGAGGCGTCAAGGAGGAAATCCCGCTCCTTATGACAAGGATACCATTACATCTCTCTCTCTCTTCTGCTCTCAATATATATATATATAATATTATATATATATAATATATTATATATATGGCTCTTTATCTGCATGAACTGTTTAAGTTAAATGTCTACATTCAAACACCTGAGTGTCTTATTGTACATGTAACTTGAATGTATATATTGCGTTAAAAGTTCCTTTTGGCTACCTTGTTTTCACTAGATTGTTGATTGACTTGTATGGTAATGCAGAAGTAAAATCTCCTTCAGTCAATTTTTGCAAGGAAGCAGCTGTAGGAGAGTCAAAGAATGAGGAAAAGAAGGCTGTTGAATACAATACATCTCATGAAGAGGGTGAACTATCCGGAGGAAATGAAGGTGCTCCAGAAACTGATAACGGCTTGGAATCCAACTCTAAGAGGATCATAAATCAGCATATCAAATCAGATGAAAAATCAAATCTCTTAAGGTTCCCACTCTTGATTTCTAACTTCCAATTACTATGCAACCAATTTTTTACGGTTAATTGCACATGGACTCCTGTCGTACGGCGCTTTCAAACTTGTCATACTCCTGTAGTTTCGTTTTGGCAGATAGACCCCCTTCAGTGAAATTTTTTATTCTTTTACCCTCATGGGGTCTATATGCCAAAGAACTTTTTTTCAAGAGTACAAGAGTGAAAAATATTTCACTATGAGGGTCTATGACCTATCTAACGAAACAAAACTACAAGGTTAATAAGTCCCAAAGCATGATACTACAGGGGTCTATGTGCAATTAACCTTAGTTTTTTATACCAAGCGCACACACACACACTATTTATATGCGAGAAATCCACGGTGTCCATAAGTGGGTGGCCGCTAGCTAGGACACAAGAGACTTGCACACTCGCTGTCACATTATGTATGGCGACAAGTGGTATACAATTTGTTTTACATAGTTTTATTTTGTCCAATATGTGGTGTTCAAGATCTACTTTTATGTAAATATTTGCTTAGAAGGAAGGCCGACGACCACAATGGAAACCCAACTTTAGGTTCCAGGAGCAGCCCAAGCAATCCTGCATCAAGTCCTGACAAGGTGCGGCAACTGCAAGGTGCTAGAGGAAGTCCACGTAGAGAAAAGGATAAGCATGACCATGCAAGAGATTCGAGGAGTCCAGCAAGAAGCCCTGCACACAAGGCTGCTGCAGTTGCACCAGAAAAAGGTCAGAATTTGTCAAGGAACCCCTCTTCAGATGGCGCTCCAAAACGCATAAAAAAAGGGCGTGGGTTCACCAAGGCTTATGCATATGTACGGAAGTATAGGACACCATCACCTGAATGCTCTCCTGTTCATTCGCAATATTATAGAAGAAGAAATGAACGAGGACGTGATTATGATAGGTAAACAAACTTGACAAGAATTTCCATAAAACATTGATGCTGCTGAATTTTTAGAATGATGAACCAGCCAAGCTTATCTCAGGGACAACAGGTACAGACCTTACCGTGAGCGATCACCTGCAAGAAATTATCAGCGATCCCCACGAGGCAGCAGTCCTGTCAGGTGGCCCTACATAACCTCATCTGCCTACTATTTTCTTTTAATCTTGACCTTTTACTAGAATATCCTTCGCAATGTTCAAAAACACGGTTTTATTATCCGTGCGTTTTGAGAATGATTAATCGGATTATGCGCCGATTTATTGGATTATACGGAATTATGCGTTTTTGAATTTTTTTAACATATATTTATTATTTTTCTAACATATATTTATTATTTTTCTAACATATATTTATTTTTTTCATACATAAAAATGTATACAATTCATAAAAGATAGAACATATACTAAGAAAAATGCAAATAAACCATCCTCAACTAATGCTAAATTGAGAGGATTTCAGGCATTTATCTTTCAAAGAAGAAACCATGGCCAAAACTAGAAAAAAGAAAGCAATAATCCTCAAATCCGCGGGATTTTCTTTCAAAACTAGCATGATTTACTTTCAAAGCTCTATTATCAGGTATTTATCTTCTTAAATGTTTGAAATTTATAAATTTCCAATCAAAGAGAGAAGGGGGGAGTAGGTCTTACCTGCGGAAATTGGAGAAGAACCGGCGGCGAAGCAAGCTCCTTCCGGCGGCTGATGGAGGAGGGTCTGCCGGCAGCTGATTGAGGAGAGTCTGCTAGCTTTGTTTTCTTTTCTTTTTTTTAATCGGGTTTTTTTATGCAGAGATAGAGAGCTAGTAAGTTAGGGTTTGGGTAAATTTGGGTTTAAAACTGTAATGGGTTCAGAATTTGGACCCTAAACCCAGTAACACCCGGAAAAAACGACCGCATGATCAAATTATGCGGGCGATTAACCGTTTTTTACTCAATTATGCTCGGCATAATTGAGCAAATCAGCCCATTTCCCCATTTCCATGCGGAAATGGGCCGATTCCGATTACTCGCCCTCATTTTTAGAATATTGATCCTCCCCATACTATGGCCCTATGGGGATTGCCATACTATTTATTCATTGCAGACAGACCACCTGTGGTATAGTTGTTTTAAACTAACTACCCATCTAGTTTTATTTTTGGAGATAGCCAACCTGAGTGAAAATTGTTTACTCTTTATCCTCAGGGGCCTATTTGTCAATAAACTATTTTCTTTCTGAGGGTAAGGGGTCAAAAAAATAACGTAGGGGTCTATCTGCAAAAATAGAACTCAAGGGATAATAAGTCCAAAACAACAATACTACAAGAGGTCAATTTGCAACTAACCCCATTATTCAGTATACATTTTTTATGTTATTTTAAACATTAATAGCTAGTTTTTTCTTTTTGAGCATCAACTTGACATTATTAGAGGTGATAAGATTACGACTAATGGCAATGGAGTAAGGAAGACTAGAGGTAGACTAAGAAAACTTGGTTGCAAACAGTTACGAAGGATATGATAATGATTAACTTAGTGGATGAGATTTTCCTTGGCAGAACTGAATTAAAGAGTTGGAGTCGTGTACCTCATCCTAAACAATTGGAATAAAGACTTTCTTATTATTGTTGTAACCTGCCATTATTTATGTTCCAGATACCGGAGCAGGAGGAGCCGTAGTAGGAGCAACTCAAGGAGCCCAGTCAAGTACCGAAGCCGTGGAAGAGATCGTAGCTTGAGCCCTAGAAGAAGCCGGAGTCCTATAGCTGATCGTCGACCAGCAGTGAGTGATATGCTTAGATCTCGCCTTGGCCCTCGAGGAGATAGTAGTCCTGTTGCGGAGAGAGGAAGGTCAAGGTTGAGGAGTCGAGGTTCAGTGTCATCGCAGTCAGTTGATGATGGAGGTGGAAAGACAGGGAAAGGGAAGGCAAGGTTTGCAAGCAGCAGCTCTAGGTCCAGCAGTCCTGCCGGAAATAATGGTTTGGTCTCTTATGGGGATGGAGATCCTTGAATTTACTAGCTGAAGTTGTACAAGTTCTATCCGGAGAGAAGTTTTACATTGTTTTGTCTTAGTTATTTGCTTCACCTTATCATGGGCAAGTTAAATAGTCTCAGAGAGGATTTACTTTCCCTTTTTTTGGGTTTATTGTGTACTTTCTGTTACATATTACTCTGATGTAGAGTTAATATCATGTCAACTTTGTCTCTTGAATTCTACCATTATTATTGTTTTGATTACTTGCAGTTATGATATAGCTTCTTTTGTGTTGTCTCCATGGTAAAAGAACGATGGAGGTAAGGTTCTGATAAAACTTTATTCTGATAAACAATAAAGGAGTGAAAGCGTTTGCTTCTGATTGGTGGCGAATCATGCATGTAAACTCAGGCAATCTCACGTTTTGTTGTACTTCAGTCACCAAATATCTATATGCCTACTCAATACATATAAATACTTCAAAAGAACACCATAAGCGAGCGGATGCATTCACTAAGTAACATTTAACAATTTGTCCATCAGTTGAATCATGATAGATTTTCATACAAAATTCTAGACAAAGAAGCAGCTACTAGTTCTGAATAAATACATAAATGCCATCTCTCTTTGCTTTGCCTTTGCCCTCTTCATATTGGCATACCCTTGGGGAAAATCTGATCCTTAATCCACATGTAAATGGGCACAAGGACATAGTAGGTTGCGGCCATGGTACCCAAAATGAAGCGCAAGAGGAAGGAAAATGGATTGACAGGCTTCTTCACATCCTCAACTTTTGGACCCATCTGAGCAGAGATGACACAAATCGAAATCAAAGCTAGAATAAGTGAAAGAAAGAAAGAAAGCATATGTATGTTTGCAAATTTTCAAAATTTTTTGGTTTAAAATCATAATGTTGATTGTTTATGACAAATTAACATGTAAATTGATGATGAAATGGAGTTGAACAAGAAAAAAGAGTTGAGAAGTTCGTTCTTCCTAGAATACATGTGAGATTGCATAGTCTGATTACTACAGCCTTAAATATCTTTTATTTGAGAATTTTGCAGCACAGAGTGACATAATAGGTAAAGTTTCAATTCATGTAACATCTTTGGGTCAGCTAAAAACAAAACTCCTACAAAAAGTTTGAAGGAATGTTTAAAAAAAAATACAAATCTCAGCATATCTAAACACAATTTGATAAATTCTGGATATATGGAAAAATAGAAGATTGAATGTTCAAAGTACTTACTAAATTTAGCGCAAGAGCAACTGCAATACCTAATGCTTCATTTTCAACTTTTGCATTTTCCCCATTAGTGATAGTTCATTTAAGATAGTGAAGACACCTCTTGGACATTACTTTTCTATGCAACATCATGTCATAATTTACAAATGATTTCAAGGTAATATTGGATTAAATTGAGTATGTCAAACAGCCTGCCAACTTCCACATTACTTTTACCTGGTTTAGACTTTCAACTGAAAGTATCCAGTTAATGTCCCACATTGCCAATATTTCATACAAATGTCTGGTAGAATAACAGTTAATCTCCAATGTAAACTACTAAACATCTGTATCTTACAAGTTTAAATCAGCATTTTTTATAGTTACCCTAGTAGAGACAAGTACTGAACTCACCTAAATAAAATATTACAAACGTTTCAAATATTTGAGTCAATTCAACATACTAAAACACTTACAAATGAAATTTACATTTTAGAAGATAGCTCAAGGATCAATTTCAAACACGTAAAAGGAATGTCACAGCACAAGTTCAAAGGTCAGGGTAGAAAAATAAGAATGAAAAACTGAAGCACAAGATGTTTAACTCTTTAGACTCATTACAGGCACTATGAATTTAGTACCAATTTCTAATATATATCAAAGCCACAGCCAGGAAATAAATGAATGGTGTGAAACTATCGCATACAATGCGCCTAATCCAGGTTATATGATGAAAATTCATAGCATGAAATCACTAGAAGGTCTATACCTAGGATAAAATGGCACATTTAACACCACACACACATATACATATGCATATATTGTATCGGCTGTGCTATTTGACTCGCGAGTTGGGCAACTCGCGCCCAACTCGCAGTCACTGACTAGGGGGGTGGGCCCCACAAAGCTGTGGGGCCCACCCCCCTAGTCAGTGACTGCGAGTTGGGCGCGAGTTGCCCAACTCGCGAGTCAAATAGCACAGCCGTATAAGAAAAGGCAACGGATGAGACATCGAAATCGCTAGCTTGCACGTGTGCACACTTGATTAGCTGCACTTAGTCCGTGAGGTGTCAAATTTTATAGCGGTGAAGAATTATCAAAATTATAAGATTGGTATATTAGAAATGTTAAGGGGCACACCCCCAACCACAATCCCAACCACACCATCACTCTCTCTATATAGTGCATTGGGACCCACATGAAATTGTTTTTTAAAATTTCATGTGGGTCCCAATACACTATAGAGAGAGATGAGGTTTGGTTAGAATTGTGGTTGGGGGTATGCCCCTATCACTCCTCTTGGTATATTTTGTTAATCATACGTAACAGATTGGTATCTTTTCTTACTCTGAATGTGATAGTTTGTTATATTGTGTGCAGCACGACTTACAAATTGGCCTCTATTTTGGCAGTATTCCGGTCAAATTGAATCACATGACTCCTTAAGTGGTAGGGTAACAATTGTGAAAGAAAAAACCCCAAATAACACACACGGACACACCCCACCACCCTTCACAAAAACAACCCAACACCAAACCCCCAAATATTCTCTATTTTCGCTCTTTTTCTCTGTTTATGGGAGGGAGAGGGCATGTCTTTGACAAATTACAGAAATTCCCCTTGTGCATAAAGTCACAGACCTCTAAAGCTTGGTTTTTTCTATCCACACTAAGGCGCGATGGTTAGTAAGGATGATTAATGGATTCAAAATCTTGATTTTGCTACAATGTAGTTAATTTGTGTAAATTAGGTTTTTTATCCCATTAAGCCCTTAGTTTGCTTCTTCCCATATGCATACTTGAGTCTAACCTTGTGCAAGAGCTTGATGATAAAGAATCAATCTTCAATTTCAGTTGCTCTAGTAAATTTAACGCTAGGAGTAAAAATTCTCAATTTAAACCCTAACTTTTGAGCTCTAATGTTCAAAACCTCTTTCAGCAATTTGAATGATCTCAAGTACCACCACATTGGCAGCCATGTCGGCCTGCACGTGAGGACCATGTGACTCAATTTGGCCGGAATTTTAGCTCCGGCCAAAATACAGTCTTATTTGTCATCATAGTCTACGCAATATATCAACTTGTCATT